CTCCCCCCAAATTCCCATTTAGTTTCTTATGCCAACCTGACACATATCAAAACCTTGAAGGGGAAAACCGTGATGTGGGAGGGATAATTATATATATATATATATATATATATATATATATATATATATATATATATATATATATATATATACATACATATATATACATAATACACACACACACACACACACACACACACACACACACACATACACATACACATATCAGTGTCAGTCTAAAAACATTGCCCAGGGGCAGCTAGGTGGCACAGTGGATAGAGCACCGGCCCTGAAGTTAGGAGGACCTGAGTTCAAATCCGGCCTCAGACCAAACACTTGACACTTACTAGCTGTGTGACCCTGAGCAAGTCACTTGACCCCAATTGCCTAAAAACAAACAAACAAAAAAACCAAAAAACAAAAATAAAAACATTTGCCTATAGGTTGAGAGCAGGGCATGTAAGAGTTTCACATGATTAACTGAGTAACCACAAGCCTGATTAACAGACTTCATCCACCTTAAAGATAATGGAGAACAAATTTAGTCAGGTTTTCCAAAGAACCATTCTTCCTTTTCCCAATACTTTTTTTCAAGAAATAAAAGACCAAACTGAACTCTAACAACTTCAGGAGGTAGTTTGTCTAGAAATAATTTCATCTATACAACTAGTAAGAAAGTTAACTTCTTGATAAAAGAGTACTGAAACTTGAAATGAAAGTAATTTTAAAAAGGACCCCTTTTGTTAGCATGACTCAAACAAGCCCTACTGGATTCCCACTCAAACCATTGGGAATCTACCTGAAGATTTTTCATAAATAGGGTCTGAACAGGATTTTCATAAACACCCAAGCCTGGCTGCACTCCACACATTAGCAAAAACGTCTACAAACAATAAACTTTCTGACATAACAACAAGGTTAAACAACTTAAAAAAAATTTACAGGTATTCTGTTACTTATAAAACCCTTGAGCTGTACAGTGTCCCAAAAATCTTATCTTAATGTAAGCCATTAAAGCCTAAAACTGCACTAAGACTTTTTGGACACCCCAAACAACCCTTGACAATTGGCAAAATGCTTTCTATCCCCATTTTACAGATGAGAAAACTGAGGGTAAAAGAGGTTAAGTCCCTTGACCAAGGTAACACTGCTAGCTAGGAAAGGACAGAAATGAACCTCAAATAGCCATCTTCTTTCTCCGAGTTCACTATATTCATGCTTCAGTATTACCACGTTTTCTGTAAATCCCATGGTAAGGGTTTTGACTTGAAATCTTCCTAAGAAAAAACCCAATTAATATTATTTCATAAGCTACCCCAGAGGCAGCCATAAAACAATGCAAAAAGCAAAATGCTGAGTCCATTTTCTCTTTCAACAATTCCTTTACCCTCTTGTGGTTCTTTTTTTTTGGGGAGGGAAGGCAGTTAGGGTTAAGTGACTTGCCCAGAGTCACACAGCTAGTGAGTGTTATGTGCCTGAGGCTGGATTTGAACTCAGGTCCTGTGCTCTATCCACTGTGCCATCTAGCTGCACTCCCCTCTTGTGGTTCTTGACAGCTAATGACAAAGTGGGTAGAGGTCAGATCTGGACTTACACACTAGCTATTTGTTCCTGGTTAAGTCACTTAACCTTCTTGCTACCTCAGTTTCCTCATAAGTGCCTGGTATATAGTAGGTGCTTAATAAATGCCTGTTTCCTTCCTTCTTGCTCCTTCCTGGGTATCCAGTTCTCCCAGGATGCCCCCAGGTACCCTCTTTTCAGGGTAAGGATGTGAAAAGAGGGATTCTCCTACATCATTATTGACTTACTCTCTCTCATGTTATGTCCCATACTCCATAAAGTATTTGAATTTTAAAAGATCTCAAAGAGAAATGGTAATACTCAGCGCAAGTAAAAGAATCCCTAATTTTGTCATTTCAAGTGGCCAGACAGAGGAGATACATAAGGGTTGTGGCTTTCCTTGTGCTCTTCAAAATAACAATGTAGACCCAGGCCTACTTACCCCCCTATGTGAACTCTCTAATCCCTTCAACTCACCCTTTTTCCAGGTCCTTTTCCTTTTTGTTTTCTTTCCTAACTTAGGTGCTCTAATAGAAAAAGTTAAAAACATCTTTCAGTGCATAAGGAATCATATAACATTTGATTTTAGTACCCAGGTAGGTGGTGAAGAAGATAGAGTTCAGGGCCTGGAGTCAGGAAGACTCATCTTCATCAGTTCAAATCTGACCTCTGGTACTTATACTAGCTGTATGACCCTGGGCAAGTCACTTAACCCTGTTTGTCTCAGTTCCTCATCTGTAAAATGAGCTGGAGAAGGAAGTGGTAAACCACTCCAGTATCTTTGCCAAGAAAACCCAAAAGGGGGCACGAAGATGCACATTACCTCAGTTTGGAGCTTGACAATGTGAGGTGTGTGTAGAGAGAATCTCATTAAGATTCTCTGGAATATTCTTCCTAGGCACATTTGTGAAAAATTGGTCTTTTGATCCTGGGGAAATCTACAAAGTCTACATTGATTAGACAACGTCCTTAAAGGTGCTAGATTTAGAAGACAATACCTATGAATAGCACCAGATGTTTCTTTGTAGTCAACAAATGAGGGTATTAAATCTCAGATTTAAAATGGTAGTCTCTAGAGAAAACCAAATGACTTTTCCTTTTAATAGACTAATTAATCTCTAAGTCTTCTAATTCCTAAGATTTTAAAACTATTGCTTTCCATTTAAAAAAAAGATTAGCTTGGATGGAAGGAGAGATGCAAGATAGATACACACTGCTTTTGGCATACTATCTGTTCCACTTGATTCTCACATAAATTTCAAGAACACAAAGATTTAGAGGGCATGATCCATGTTTTTGCTATGATCTTGTATAGCTGTGCAAAAGCCAAAAGACTCTCTCTCTCTCTCTCTCTCTCTCTCTCTCTCTCTCTCTCTCTCTCTCTCTATATATATATATATATATATATATACATATTCACATATGTATATATATATATATATGCAACAAGTATTTAATGGTTTTCATAATGAGATCTAGCTAAATAAGTAAAAATAGAAAGAACACACAAGACAAACTAGGGTGGGTGGCAAGGAAGGTGTGTACTTGCAGTGCCTTCTATTGTTATCAATAGAAAAATCTCATTACTTTTTTCTATATTTAGAGAGCAAATGCCTACTACTAGACTGAAAATGGAGTTTGTAAAGAAATGATGACATCCTGAGCCAGGGCAACAAAAGTATTTCCACTTATAATTAGTGAACAGCATGCTTTCATCCATTTGCATACTCTAAACTAAATAGATTGTAATTTATAAAGCACAAAGCTCGCTACAAACAAACTAGCACACTTTTGAAAGGGCTAGAATGAGATTTAGAATCTTTTTTTTCCCTGCTTTTGTTGGAACAGTCATTTCAGTTACTCATCATCCAACATTTCCTTTTGGCATGGACAATGAACACAAAACCACTATTAAAATAATTACTTACTCCAGCCGAGTCTGCACTAAAGAAATGGGCATCCCACACAAAAATCCAGCAAGACAACAGGCATCTCAGGGATCTCTTTATTAACTTAGATGGAGAAGGGCACAAGATCAAAGTAAAGGGAATTGGACAGCTTTGAGAAGCAGGGAAGGAAATAAGGATGGGTGAGTCCTTGGGATGCTTTTAAAAATTATCATTATTGTTATGCTTTAATGCAAACGGTGGCTCAACTTTCTATAGAATAAGGCTCCAACAAGAAGCCCAGAAACCCTGATGTATGTCTCAGAGTTTCTTCAACAAGTTGCTCATGGCATTACATCTGATCACTAAAACATTTTTATATTCCGGATATTGGCTGTCAGGAAGTAATGAATAGGGTCTTCTGAGATTCTCCGTCTTTTCCTTTCTAATGAGCCTGATTTCTGCACACTCACCGGGGAGCAAAACACATCTCCTAGCTTGGAGACCTAGCTCCTAGTTCACTTAGAAGTGAGGCACTACCTCCTCTCATGTCAGTCATGCCTGGTTCTGAAGTAAGATTCTTCTGTAACGCCTTAGATACAGAGGATGGAAAAGGAGGGAGAGTTCCTTCCACATGTTGAATGTATGGGTATGAGTGTGTAAACATAGTCAAGACAGAATCTTAATACTTCTTAAAAAGCATTCTAATGGAACTTATAAAGACAAGGCTGAGAGCATTGGGGAAGGGGGTAGAGAGGATAAAGTACTACCGTTTTGGTACTTTATATCAACTACATTCAGAACCAGTCTTCAAACTCTGTCTAGGAACACTGTCTAGCAGGGAAAGGAAATAGTTCCTTCCTGTCCAAGAGCTTTCCCCCAATTCCACCCCCATCCCACCTCGCCCCACCCCCCAGGTCGTAGTACCCGAGAGAGGTGTCAGGTTCTGAAAGCTTTAATGGTTAGATAATCTGTTTAATCCCCTAGCCAGTCCAGCAGAGGACCCTACTCCTCCCCAGAACTCCAGACCCACCTCCTCCACTCGGCCTTCCCAGCAAAGGAGTGAGGGAAGAGGGGGAAGGGGCAAGACGGGCAAAGAGAATTTCACCACTCCTTTGGTGGAAAGATCCACCAACCCAAAAAGCCAGCGCAATCTGCCAAGAGGTAAGAGTTAGGGTTAGGGTAAATGGGGTAAATCCGGAGGATGAGTAACCTCTAATCTGTTCTCTAGTAAATTATTTAAGGCTACTGGCCTATTCACCCCCTTTCTGTTCAGACCCCTAAATCGGTAGCTAGGGCAGGAATGTATGGAGATTAGAGGCAAGGCAAAGGTTACGTTAACCCTATGTGATCCATCAGGTTAACCTATGATACAAGGACGCCCTGCCCTGTGATTCAAAGTACAGGAGAGCCTGCCCCCCACCCCACTCCCCTTACCAGGGGTAGAGTAGCCCTAACTTTCGGCCCCAACCTCTCTCCGCCCCTGGACAGTGGGAGGCAGCTGGGGAGTAGGGTGCCCGTTCTTTCAACTTTCGGGGATCCGGACCTCCTCACCTTTTCTCCGGTCAGCACATGCAGTCCCTCTCTCACTTTGGCGAAGGAGCCTTCCCCCAGCTTCCTGCTGCCGATGAGGTAGTTGCCGACCCGTTTGTTGTGCTGGAAGTCACGGAGCTGCTCCCTGGACACCGCGCTCACCCAAGCTGGGAGGAAACTTCCCGCCGAGGCCAGAGGAGGCTTCGCGTCTTCCCCGCCGCCGTCTTCTCCTCCTCCCAGACCCGAGCCTGGCGCGGGCGGCTCGCTCAAGAGCCCGTCCCCAGCCGCGGCCGGCATCCTTCCCCTTGTCTTCCTCTAGCTGCTGCTGCCGCCGCCGCCGCCGCTGCTGCCGCCGCCGCCCGCCGAGGCTTTCCCCGCCCCTCCTTCTCCTCCCCCCTGCCCGGGTGGGACCCAGCAGCCTCTGACACTTTCCTATTGGCCTCGACTCCCACCCCAACCCCTGGCCGCAGAGCTGTCCAGTCCTAGGCTAGCTCCTCCTGCGTTTCACTCATCCACCCGGGAAGCCTCCTGCTATGCACGCATGCACCCTCCCCTCCTGAAGACCCCCTCCTCTGTCTCTCCCTTCCCCCCCACCCCAGTAAAAGAGACAATAGGGGAGTAATGAAAAGATTAGCTGGCCCCACCCCAAATCCCTGTCTTTTCTACTCCAGGGACAGTCTGGTGGCCAAGGTGGAAAAGACACAAACCTCAATTACACCTCCCTTACCCCCTTCCCTAATTAAGTTCCTCTTTCGAAGGTCTGATGGTTTTTCTGGTTTTGTTTCACTGGAATAGGATTCCCCCTCCGGGCTTCCCTACTGGCTGGGTCATGACAATAATCAAATGGCTCCAGCGTGCCAGGAATTGCATCTCATTCAGAAGAAAACAGAGAAACCAGCTCCAGCCGGGTTTGCTTTCAGGCACTGAGTAAAGCCCGAGTTGCTGCTGTCTTTTCTACTCAGGGTTTCCCCTTGTTCTCCCTCTGTCTCACGGGTGCTCCAGGCACTGGTTCTGTCTGTCTACCTTTTTTCCCTCCCTCAGTTTCTGCCCGGCTGGGGAGCTGCGAGCTTTGCTTCACTGAGGCTCTCTCAAGGAAGGAAAAGGCGGGGGGGGGGGTTGGAGAGAGGGTCCATTCAGTTTGAATTTGCAGTAATTTAATCCGATCCCAGTCGGCGGGAACAAATGTGATCTAAACTCAGCAGCCTGAGCATTTTCAAATGTAGCCAGCCCCTCCTTCCACTTCGTGCCTTACATTCAAACCCAAACACGCAGGACAGAAAAGCCTTGAGAGGAAGAGGTGGGGGACGTCTCTATAATTAGACTACACATTCTTATCTCCAAAGCTGTGAGACACGGCGTGATTTCTTTTTACAAAGGATTTGATTTTCCTTTTTTATCCTTTGATCGTGATAGTGTTTTTTTTCTTTTTTCTTTTTTTTTAATGCTTCTTTCTTACCCTAACTAACTATGAACGCTTCGCTTGCCTCACACATCCTTTAGGAGGAAAACCTTGGAAGACATGAGATTGTGACACTGGATTTGGTTGGGCATGCTCAAAGGACACTCTGGAGTTTCTTGGGTCTGGAAGGAGTCGAAAGATAGCAAAGAAAAGCGGAAAAGCAAAGGTGGTTGTAGTCTGTTTCTGTTTGTTTTACTCTAAATCCAAAATGTAAACAAACATACAAAGGAGGTGTGAGTCTTTCTATTCTTTTCATTAGGATGAAGTGAAGCTCCAGTTCAAACCACACTGAGTTTGGAGTCAAAAGAATTGGATTTGATTCCTGGCTTTGCCACAGCCTAGCAATGTATAGCCTTGGACAAGTCACAACCTCTTCTATGCCTCAGTTTCCTCTTGTAAAATAAAGGGGTCGGGCTAGATGGTCTCTAAGGTCTCTTCCATTTCTAAAACTACTATCATGTGAGCACAGCGCCAAATAATTATGATCATCAATTAACCCAGTTTTACAAGAACCTACTTGACCTGAAAGGTAATCCTGACTTAAAAATGGGTATACTGTCATTTTAAATGTGCTGCCCATTTCATATCTGCCCATATTAATTGCTGATTGTAATTGATTAGAGATTACTAATGTGGCACTAATTAAGCATACCATTTTCACTTAATGGCCTAGTTACTTTTTTCACAATCCTATTTTTAAAATTCAGTTTTGAAATTTCTTCCTGCTTTCCATTAAGTGACAACCTCCACAAAAAGTCACATGTTATCATGAGGAGTCAAGAAACCTGAATTCTAAAGATACTGGCTATGTAGATTAACTTTGGCAAAGTACAACCTACATCAGCCTTAGTTTCTTGTCTGTAAAATAAGAATAATAATATATTACTTGACTACCTCATAGGTTGTTTCTCATGAATGTGAAAGGGCTCCATATGTGGTAAAAGTATCACGTAAATACAAGGTACTACTATTTTTGTTATTATATTACCTTAATTTCTCCAGGAGCAGTGGGATAGTTTTATTCTTCCCTTTTGCTGGACTGACCTTCTGTATGCTATGGTCAAAACCACTGCGGCTTAAATTTCAGGATGAATTCACATTTTGAAGCTGGCCCTATTTAGCAAAGTGTTGAAGTCCCTCCACAAGGGACCCTGGTTCTGGAATCACAGGAACTAGGTTCAGTCTTGGGAAGCATGACCTCCAAAGAAAGACTTTTTCTAGAACTCTCTGACTCATTAACTCCATACCCCAAACGAACTCCCTTAAAGTTTAGTATTGACTAGTGTAATGGAAGCAACAAACATGAGCTTAGACTTCAGGAGAGAGTGGAGGAAAGAGAGGCCTGGCATGCTATGATCCATGGGGTCTCAAAGAGTTGGATATCACTGAACAAATGTCTAGGATCTTCCCAAAAGGGATTGCTCGTGTTCCTTCTAGAAAGTTACTAAATGAACTTGTAACTGTGGTCTGGCCAGGATAGGCTGGCACTGCCCAGTTTGAATAACATGGAGATACCTTTGTGGGGCCTTTGGTACCATGGAGACCTCTGCATCCTCTACAGCTTGGGTAGTGGTAGCTGGCTTTGTTCCATTAGCCACTAACAATTGGATGAGCTTTACCAAAAATTTTACTTAAAAAGTATAATCAAACATACGAACTTATTCCAATACTTGGGAGGCATAATCCTTCCTCCTCCCTCCATATACAACCTTGGTCTTTGAGGAGGAAAGGGAATTAGATTCATCGCTTAGCTCAGTGCCTATAGAGCCCCATTTCCAAGTCCAAAACCTTGGGCCCAAGTCCCAGGCACCCTGGCTTCTCAGGGCTTCCATGCTGGACTAGTTGACTGTACCATTCCCCCTGCAATCCTGGCTCCAAGGACATGTGGCTCCCGTCCTGTTAGAGTCACCTTCAGTATCTGAAAACTGAAGACAAACAATACAGAACAGAAACAAACACCACCAAACTAATTTCTTGGAGGCTGGGGTAAAAGAGAAGGAACAGGGGAGAGCAAGCCCTTCTTCCCTCACAGGTTTGGTGTCCATGGGGTGCAGCAGATAGAAGTTGCTGAAAAGAGTACAACCAAAAGAAGATAGAAAAGAGTAATTGGTCCGAGTCTCACTACAAAAATAAAGCCAGTCAAAGAAGTTACCCCTATCCATGTGGTAGGAGATGCAGAGGCCTATAAATGCCATTGGAATATGCTCCAAAAGGCCTCTCAAGAGCACCTCCATGTTACTGGAACTGGACATGCCCAGACCAGCACAGGGTTACAAGCAAAGCAGTATATGTCATTTATGGGACAGCTATATATTTCCTCTTTGTTCAGCCATTTTAGTCACGCCTGACTCTTCATGGCTCCGTTTGGGGTTTTCTTGGCAGATACTGGAGTGGTTTGCCATTTCCTTCTCCAGCTCATTTTACAGATGAGGAAACTGAGACAAACAGGGTTAAGTGACTTGCCCAGGGTCACACAGCTAGTAAGTGTCTGAGGCCAGATTTGAACTTAGGAAGATGACTCTTCCTGACTCCAAACCTGGTACTCTATTCACTCTGCTACTGAGCGCCCTTTATTTCTCTACTATAAAATAAATGTTTAAAATAAACACACACACACACACACACGCACAAACTGAAACCATAAACTATAATTCATCATTCCTAGAGGGTGGGGGGTGGGGGGAAACCTCTCAGGAAAGTTGTGGAGCTGTCAAACAGATAATTCGAATTCACCTCAGATCTGTACTTTCTAAGCAGCAATCCAGATCTATATCTTCTTGCCATCCAGCCATGCTAGGGAATTGAGATCCAGCTTCAGGTTCACCTAGATAAATATATGTACCCACTATCTACCATAGATAGTACTAGGGAGAGGACAAGAATCCTCTCCCCTAGCAGGATGTCCAACAGAGAGCCTTGAGAGTTTCAAGCCATACCATCAAAAGAGAGGAAGAAAGTGAAAAAATTAATTCTTCTTTTAAAATGTATGATGTTTGCTTCATATGAAAATCATCTTGAACACAGCCCTCAGTAACAGGAACCATGGGAACCAACAAGGAATCTCAAGTCACATATGTACTTTATTATGTACATTAAGTGCCAGAGCACATGTAAACCACTAGAAGGGGCCAAGGCATAGGCCCACCCGCCATGCATGCTTTGAGGAATATCCCTCCCCCTTCCAGCACACTGGAAATTAAAAAAATATTATTACAATGAATATAACATTGCAAACAAACTCTCCTATAAAATATACTTTTTGAAAATTTTTATTAACAGAAAAGAAAGTATAAACAACTCTCCAACTATTTCACCAACTTGTATTCACATTTACAAGTTAGGTTCCCAGAGAGTGGCTGCTATTTTGGGTTCCAGGGTAGGTACTCTGTGGATACCCACTTAAAAAATTATATCTCATAAGCCTCATTAACAATCAACCAGTAGCTCTCAGCAAAGGCACAGCTACAAAAAAATTCTCCCCTTAAATCTAGAGTTACACTTTTCCATTCAGCGTTCATGGAAAGCACATACCTAGGATACACATGAGGCAAAAACGGGTTAAATGATTTGCCCAGAGTCACACAGCTAGTAAGTGACTGAAACTGAATTGGAACCAAGGTTTTCCTGACTTCAAGCCCATGACTCTATCCACTGTGCCACCTAGCTGCCTCAGGACCTAGAAGTATTTTCTTCATGTAGTCCCTTCACAGGGGGAACATCTCTTCTGGGAATGTTGTTCAGCTTCTCACCATAGCTGCACTCTTCTCCGCTGCCAGGCACCTTTCCATGAATTTGCTGCCTCCTTGTAGAAAGGAAGCCAGTTATCCCCATCAACTACTACCTAAAGGAATGGTGCCTAGAGCTG